AGAATGAAGTGGCCCTCTTTATCTCTTCTGATTAGTTTTAGTTTAAAGTCTATTTTGTCAGATATTAGAATTGCTACACCTACTTTTTTCTTAGCACCATTTTCCTGGTATATTTTTTTCCATCCTTTCACTTTAAGACAGTATCTATCCTTTAAAGTGAGATGAGTTTCTTGCAGACAACAAAAAGATGGGTTTTGTTTCTTAATCCGTTCACATAGTCTGTGTCTTTTGACTGGGGAGTTCAGTCCGTTTATATTTAAAGTTATTAATGAAAGATGAGTATTGAATTCTGTCATTTTTATTTCTGTTTACATTCTTGATATATCTGTACTTTTCCACACTTATACCTTCATTGAATTTCTTTCTGCAACCCCTTCCATATAGTCGTTCCTTTCTTCAGCTCTTTGCATTGCTTCCAGAACTCTCTGAAGGGGTGGTTTGTAGACATGGATTCCATCAGCCTATTTACATCATGGAGGATTTTTCTTCCCCTTTCGACTATAATAGACATTTTGGCTGGGTATAGTAATCTGGGTTGGCATCTGTGGTCATTTAAAACTTGGAATACTTTGGTCCAGGTTCTTCTGGCTTTCATAGTTTGCACTGAAATGTCAGCTGTAATCTTAATGGGTTTTCCTTTATATGTGACTTGTTGTTTCTCTTTTGCAGGTTTCAGAACTGTCTCTTTGTTTTGTACATTTAGTGTTTTTACTATGATGTGCTGTGGAGAGTTTCTTTTCTGGTACTGTCTGTTTGGTGTTCCATATGCTTTGTGTATTTGTATGGTCATGTCTTTCTTTAATTTTGGGAAATTTTCTTCCACGATTCTGTTGAAGATCTGGTCTATGCCATTATCTTGGGATTCTTCTCCTTCCTGTATGCCTATGATTCATAAAGGTTGGTCTATTTATGGTGTCACATATATATTCCATTCTTGTGCTTTCTTAAATTTTTCATAATCTTTGCTTGAGTGGTCTAGTTCGTCCACTTTATCTTCCATTCTTAATACTCTGTTTTCCATTTCATTCATCATATTGTTGAGGCTTTCTCCTGTCGTTTCTGATTGGCTTACGGAGTGTTTCACTTCCTTCTTCATTTCAGCCTGAGTATTTGTCAATATTTCTCTTTTCTTAATTCTTTCATTCAGTTTATCCATATCTTCCTTCAGTTTGATTACTTTGTGTGTTCTTTAAATTGACTGAATTCTTCTATCATGTTTATAATTGTTCTTTTGAGTTCTTGTCCTGCATTATCTCCAGGGCATTCTCATTGTTCTCCTCTATAGGATTATTGGTATTTGGTGGGGATACGTTATTTTGGTATTTCATGTTATTATTTTTTCTCTGTGATTTTGACATGTGGATTTCTTTTGTAGTTTCTGATTCTTGTGTGAGACTCAAGCCTTCAAATTTAGGTCTGCTTCTTTTTGTGAACTTTATGTGTCTTTATGGTTTACTTTTTGGGCATGAAAAGCTGGTTCCTCTAAGTTTTTGATTCTCTCTTTTGATTTTATATTGGCTTGGCCAGATTGCTTTTGTCTTCAAGATTTCCCACAGAGGTCCAAGTCAGATGAGGATTAGACGCTCTCAGGATTTATCCTAAGGTCTGGATCCCTCCAGGAAAGATTTTGGCATCAGGAATTTGGGGGTTGGACTGGCCTGGAAGCTGGGCCCCGGAAAGATGCTGGTCTTGGGCAGCTAGTGGGTATGCCACCCATAGATACAAAGGAAGATGGGGGCAGGAAGCAGCCCCAAGGGCTCCTGGAGACTGCACTGATGAGCTTGGTTGGTCTGGATGAAAAGGATCAGGAAGAGGAAAGGTCTCCCAGGAGTCCAGGAAAGAAGCTGGCAGGTAGTGCAGGCCCAGGGAAGTATAGGGAGGTGAGGGCTAGGCCAGGCCCAGAGTGCTCCTGGAGAACTGAGAAGGAACTGAGTTGGTCTGGATGCAAAGGATCAGGAAGAAGTGGTGCTTCCCCAGGTGTCTGAGGCACCAAGAGAAGGAATGGGACAGGACCCAGGCTAGTAGGAGAGACTGATGGAGGAGATGGGAGGGTGAATGAGGTTGGGGTAGTCAAGGCCAGGAGGGCATGATCAACTTACCCCAAAGAGAGAGGCCAGCGGGTCCTCCTTACTTTTCTTATTGGAACCACTCTGTTGTCCTCCTCAAATATCCTTGCCCTTTTCCATGTAATCTCTTATTACTCATGCAGCCAGCATTAAACAAATCTGGTCACAGAAGTTCTTTCACTACTAATACAGTCCAGCATTGTCCAATAAAAATACAACACAATATAAATGTATGGCATTTGAAAGCTTTGCAATACCACTTAAGAAAACCAAAAAGAAAATGGATTTTAAATTGTTAGTTCTTTCTAGTGTAGCTAAGCTGCGTTCCCTAGGGACAGTAGCTCCACTTGACTAGTGGCTGTTGGATTGGGCAGTGTGGTTTCAGCCCTTAGTCACTTTTTCTTATCAGTTTTCACTCATTTCCTTAGTGAACTCATTTCATTTCGTGGATATTGAAGGCTTGCTTGCCAATGACTCCCAATTTTATATATTAAACCAAACTCTAGAGTCATCTGAGAGGAGATCCACTAATGTAGAAGGGGCCAGGCTATTGGGGGTGGCACTATTCCCTGGGCAAGTGGGTCTGCACTTTATGAATATCCAGCTGTGGCTAAACCTGCCTGGGAGCACTTTAGGAACAGCACACATTAAGTACTTTGGCTATTTCCTCTACTGGGATATCCTTTCTTCACATGTCCATGTGGCCAATTGCTTTGTCATCTGATTAGGGGGTAAGGTAACAGAAGAAATGACTTGGCGTCATAAAACTTGGCTATTTCCTTTGCTTTGGTTGGAATGTTAGTAGATGACCTAAGCAGAGGCCTGATGTGCTGGTGTGGTTAGGCTTGCCTCCTGCCATCTTGCCTTTCAGTGTGGGAAGAATATGCCTCCAGGAGCCACTAAGTGTAAGGAGGACTACATGTGCATGGAGCAGACACAGATCCAACCTGTCATCTGAAGCCCACTCTACCTCATTCCAATCTCAACCAGCTGTATCTCTGCCAGCTCTGCAGCAGATGAAGTGAATGTGAGTAGTCAGTCATTCCCCGCTGGGCTGCAGGGAGCTTGTTACACAACATTGGGCTACTAATGGAGTGGATGGTTTTGGAGTTCTACCTCAACTGTCCAATTTTAAATGACAACCCACATCCCTTTCCACTTCCTCCAAGAGCACAGTCTCTCAGCCTTTTCCTTTGTCCTCCTACTGCTTTCGTTTCTGATACAGCGCTCCACTGTGGAAGAACATCTGCACAGGAACTAGGCTGGATCTTTGTCTTGTTCTCTGATGAATCTCAGGCACATAGAACAGTGACTGATCGCTCTCTTGCTCTCCCTCTCTCTCCCTCTCTTTCTCTCTCTCTCATCTTCACCATTAGTTGAATGGCTGAGTTTCAAAGATGTTATTATTAACCTTTTCATAAGCTTTGCCTGGGTTTCTGTGAAGGATAGCACATTGCTTACCACACTATCCTTCGTCTAGGATGTCATCCTTAAGGATAACGGCACATTACTCATTCTATAACATATCTAATAAATCTCTGCTCCATTCCATCAAATTCTCCTTAGACTAATTTGATACAAATATTTCATAGTTCTTTTCTTGTGTAAAATGTATATATCCCATTATTTCTCAACAATTATACGTTCTCAACTTACTTGGATAACCCCAGAGTCATCGACCATTTTTGTGTGTGTGTGTCTTGTAAATGCCCCTTGTGCACATTACTACTTGTGCTAATGTATCAAATGGTCTTTGTGTTTTTTTTTTTTTTGTCTTTTTGAAGCAGGGTCTCCCTGTAACCCCAGCTGGCCTGGAACTCACTATGTAGACCAGACTGCCCTTGAACTCACAGAGATCCACCTGCCTCTGCCTCCCAAGTGCTGGGATTAAAGGCCATTTTAACAAAGTAGGTTTTTATTATGAAAGAATGATTCAGGTAAAAGACTCGGTGCTTTTTCTTACTGTATCGCTAAGTCCTTTTCAACTAGATAGGGAAATGGGTTCCTAGGGAACAGCGATTGTGCACAATCAATATTCTATCTCTGGTACATTGCTTGGCTCAAAAATGACTGTGAAATATGAGTACTTTAAGTAATATCTATCGGAGATTAAGTTACTTACACAAAAAGAGCCCCAAAGGGCATATCTCGATTTTCGTATGACAGTAACATACCCAGCTTTTACTCCAAATACAATACTTTGAGAAAAGAACAAGTATGACCAGAAATATCCTAGGCTCTGTATAATCAGGCTAGTCATTAGTTGTATAACCTGGAAGGAAAGAGAACCATTCTTAGTCATAATTCCAGCTAACAGTTCAAAGGAAAACACATCAAGACAAGCATCAGAGTGAAGAAGAAAGGTCATAGTCTACCAGAATGGCACTACCTTACACAACTTTAGAATGACGGCATTGACTGTGATATGTTATGTATAGTCAGGGAACATTTTATCCTCCACAATCCACTATAATTAAGATAGAGAACTACTCTGTTACTACAAGACATTCCTCAAGCTACACCTTTGCTGATTATTCTCCCACCAGCACCCTTAACTCCCATGACTCACTCATCTGCTTTTCAGTCTTTTATCATTTTCAGAGTGTTAGACGAATGGAATAATTCAGAATGCACCTTTTAAGGTTGTTTTTTCCCATTAAGCCCAATGCCATGGAGTCTCATGAAGCTGTAGTTTATTTCTGTGAATTTTTCCTTTTGAAAAAATACCATGGTATGCATGGCCGTCATTTGTTCAAGTATTCACCCACGTGACATTTTGAAATGAAGATGTTATGATTAATCATGTGTAAATAGCTGATCAGCTTTCAGTTCTCCAGGATAAATGTTCAGGAATGTCTTTTCTGGGTTTAACAGCAAGTGGATGTTTGTTATTTAGAGAGTCTGTATTACAGTCTCTCTACACAGTTCTTTCAGAGAGGCAGTATCACTTTTATATTCCCACCATCAGTGTTGATGGAGGTTCAAAGCATCTACGTCACCTCCAGTGTTGGGCTTTGTTACTGTTTTCACTACATGCAGAACCATAGCTCATGCATTCAACATGGATGATGTATGTGTTTCCACACACTGATTTGCTGTCTGTGTATCTTATTTAGTGAAATGTCTCTCTATATCATTTGCTGACTTTAAAATCCAGGGTAGGTAGATGAATACTTTTACTTATCCATGATAATAAGAATCCCCATTTGGCCTTGGTATCATGGTAGTATTAATAGTAGCCTTGTGACGATTAGTTTTAATTGTCAACTTGCCACAACCTCTAATTACCTGGGAAGATTGTCTCAAAGGGGGATTGTCTAGATCAGGTTGCCCTGTGGGCATGTCTGTGGGGCATGGCCTTGATTATGTTAATTGATGTGGGACCATTCAGCCCACTGTAGGCAGCCATAGTCCCTGAGTTTGAATCCTGGACTGTAGGAGGTAGAGAGAGAAGGAGAGCTGAACAGCAGACCTGCATTCATCCATTTTTCTGTCTGCTCTTCATTGGAACGCTGAGCACCAGACGGTGCAGGTGACTAGCTGCGTCAAGCTCCTGCCTTGAGGTCTTCCCCACAGGGATGGACTATTCCCTAGAATTGTCAAGTGGATAAACCCATTTTCCCTTACAGTTGGTTTGTCAGGTTATTTTATCACAGAACAGAAACAAACTAGGGCAAGCTTCTTTTATTTTGGTGGAAGGGAAACATTGCATGTTCAACTCTGAAAGGATTCAAATGCACTGGAATATTTTGTTTCTTTAAAAATTTTGTTGATTTACTTTTATTTTATGTGAATGAGTGCCTTGCCTGTATGCATATACATACACTCATGTTGTGAAATGCCCATGGAAGCCAGAAGACGGATCCCCTGTAAGTGGAGTTATAGATGGGTTTTTAGCCACCCTGTGGATGCTGGTAGCCAAACTGGGTCCACTGTAAGAGCAGCCCATGCTCTTAACCACTCGGCCATCTCTCTAACCCTGATGTTTAGTTTCCTCAGAATGTGCCATAACTTGCTCTTGCTTGATATCAATCAGTGTTGCTTGTTCTGTCTTCTTTTTCATTTTGGTATGTTTAAATGGGAGGAGTAATAGCTTTTTAAATATTCGTCTAACTTCCCAGAAGGCGATGGGCCTGTTAAGGCTCTCTGTTTCCATTTCTATTTGATCTCAATTTGGTGTGCTTTTGTGAAAGTGTCCATTACAAGTCACTTTTGACGAAAGCCACATTGGATCATTTTTTTCTCTGCTGATAAGTTGGAGAGTTTTAAAAATGTGTTCTGGATATAGACTATCAGGTGCACTGCATGTAAGCATTTTCTGCCACACGGTAGCTCCTCAGCTCATCTTCCTGGCAGAATGTCCCGCAAAAGTATTTTTAATTTTCATATCTGATTTGTTGAATTTTTTCTTTTATGGACAGATCGTGTCTTTGGTATCATGTAGAATTAGTCATTAGGTTATGGGCATCAATTTTTTTATACATCCTTCTGAAAATGTTGGGATTTACATTGTATATTTGTATCTATGATCAATTTTGAATTACTATTTTTATAAAGTGGAAGACTTAAATTGAAGGTCATATATATATGATATCTATATCTATCTATCTATCATCTATCTATCTATCATCTATCTATCTATCTATCTATCTATCTATCTATCTATCTATCTATCTAGATATCTCTCTATATAGATATATATCATGGCCATCCAGTTGTTTCAACATGATTTGTTAACAAACTGTACTTCTCCACTGAATTATTTTTACTAAAATATCAACTGGCTTAGTCATAGTGGCACATGACAGTAATGGCACTGGTAGACTGAGGCATCAAGAATACTAATTGGAGGAGAGCGTGGGCTAAGCAGGAGACCTTGCCTTAAAACACAAACAGCCCCCATCCCCCAAATCAGTCGTCTGTATCCTTGAAGTCAATTTCTGGATTTGGTGTTCTGATATACTTGACTGTTTTTCTTGCTCAGAGAACACCACTTAGGTTTGATTACTGTAGATCTACAGTCTCTTAAAAATCAACTAGTGTGATTCCTCCTACTTTGTTCTCCTTTCAAAATATTAGCTGTTTTTGTTCATTCTCCTTCCCATATAAACTTTAATAGGTTATCCTCATATATATAAAAGATATTTCTTGGATGTTGTTAGGAGTTGTGTCAAATCCATATGTTAATTTGGGGATAATATTGAAAATTTCAGTCCATAAACATATCTTTTCCTTTGCATGATATACTTTGAATTTTTCATTAATATTTAGTAATTTTCAAAATACAAGTCCTGTATATGATTTCTTCAATTTATAGCTAAGTATTTCTTTTTTAGGGATTATATTTAAAATGGTGATATACTCATATTATTATTTTTTAATGAATAACACTTCATCTTGAATCTTATGACCTTGTTTAACTCACTTATTCCTAGGTGCCCTCTACTTGTTCTATTTTTATATTATTTTTGGACTTTTCTGACCTATTCATTAATTCTGTGCATTTGACACTTAATATTGCTCCATCATCACACAATATGAATGGATGATGCAAAATCATGAACTTGTAAGGGTGGTGGTTGCCTGCCATAGTGGATGGAGTTGCCTGGTGTGCTGGATAGCTTCAGCTGTGAACTTGACACACCTTGATAGAGGAAACCTCAGTTGAAGCAGTGCTTGCATTAGATTGGCCTGTGTCTGTGGGACATTTTCTTGACTGGTGAGTGATGTGAGAAGGACATTGGAGACAGTGCCACACCTAGCCAGGGGGTGCTGTGTTGTATAAGAAAGCAAGCTAGGCACAGGCCAGGGGAGCAAGCCAGTAAGCAAGCATTCCTCTATGGTCTGCTACAGCTTGTACCTCCTGGTTCCTGCCCTGACTTCCATCAATGATGAACTGTGACCAAGAGATAAAATATTAGATAAACCCTTTACATCCCAAGTTGGGTTTGCTCATTATCATAGCCATGGAGAAGCTGACTAATATACCTGGGAAAACAGTAGTCTGAGCAATGATGTGGGTGGCACAGTGATATGATGACCATGGTCCACAGAGCTCTGTTGCCTGTGGCTTCTTCTGGCTACATTTCTATGATTTGATCATCTCATGGTGGATATGTCCTCAGCTTAGGGTTGAAATAATTGCCATGGAGAAAACAGACTTTTCTGTTCATTTCCACACTCAAGGAATATTTTCATGATTTCTTACCATGATAGGCCATTTTACTGAACTTTTCTAAATTTGCAGAGTTCACAATAGAAACAGATGTTGTCAAGGTCTCCTGCCTTGTATGATAAGAAATTGCAACCCTGTTGTCATTTATTGGGTCACTGTAGCACTTTGCTCTTACCCCTAAAGCCCTCAGTTCCTTTCTCAGGTGTAGGTTATCCTCTGGCATATTCGATCTGAAACAATAGAGAAATGGGAGAATAATTCTTGTATCGGAAACAGGAGAAAAATCAATGACACTAATTAATTAACATTGTTATTTTCCTGAGTAAGATACCTATGCATGAGGGGAAAGCTAATTCTACAGCCATTTGTTTTAAAAATATTTTATAGTTCCCTGAGCAATGTTTTTACATCAGACTAACAATATTAGTTTGTTGACAAAATTCAATATTTACCTCTCAAAAAGATTTGTTCCCTTACCAACATTAAGTTAGACTACAGTAAGTAATAAGCTGTAGCTTCTGCAACCACATCAATCCCTCTAGACATTACTCTTATACCTACATTGCAGCATGAAAAAGATTAGGCTTCTGATAGGTTTTGTTTGTTCTATTATTCTTTGCTGGTGTCTTCTGAGTTAAAGTTTAGTTTAACTTCTAGTCAGTGGGTGACTGACTAGAAGAATCCACGTCTCATTCTTACACTAGCTGCAGAGGAGGGTGGAAAATACCATGCTGTATAGTGCAGGTGGGCTTCTTATGTTAGAGTTAAAGAAAAACAGAGAATGTTTAGTAGATAAAAACATTGTGACTTACAAGTTTCTACCATCAAAGTTGTAGATAGCCTTTTTTATTCTGTATGAGTTTAATAACCTTCCATTGCTTCCATGGTTAATATCCATGAAAACAATTCCTTGATCTTAGCTGATTTGCACAAAGTTGGGCATCTAACTCAAGCTGGGTGTAGGTAAACTCTTCCTAGATTATTCAGACTAGTTTGTGATTGGGAATTTGCAAAATAGAAGCTGTGGCATTTAAAAAATATTATACATATATATTTAATTTCATGTGTATGAGTGTATTGCCTGCATGTATGTAAGTGCATCCTTGCTGTGCAATGCCAGTGGAGGTCAGAAGAGGGCCTTGGATCCCCAGAACTGGAATTGCATATGCTTGTTAGCTGGGGTACGAACCTGGGTCTTCTGCAAGAACAGCCAGTGCTCTTAACTACCAGCCATCTCTCCAGCCCTAAAACCTGTGGCATTTCTATGTTCTACTCTGAGGGACAGAATTGGAAAGAAAGCAGCCTTGGGTGTGAGAAGGACGGCACTCTGAGAAAAGCAGAACCAGAAAGCGGCACAGAACTCACCTTTCTGATTACTTTCAGCTGCTTAGATCCCATTCTTTTGGAAACCAGGCTGCCTTTATTACATAAATACACTTGTTCATATATTAAAATAAGTATATCTTAATTTCCTTTAAACTAGTAACGACCAAAGGTTTAATATCTATGTTTTGAATGGCCCCACAAGGCTTGGACAATCTACTCTCCCCAGTCTCCAGCATCAACCACTATCGGCAGTCCTATCTGAATTTCAAGATGCTGACTTCAGATCATTCATTTTCAAACTTTTCCTTCTGCTTATGAAAACAATGAACTCTAAAGGTTTAAGTTGTCATAGTGTGCTACTTAGTTTTTGTGAACTTGACACAGACTACACAGTCACTTGGGAAGAGGGAACCCAGTTGAGGAATTCCTCCCTCAGATCAACCTGTGGGTGTGTCTGTGGGGCATTTCTTAATTGCTAGTTGGTGTGGAAGGGCCCAGCCCACAGGTGGGTGGTGCCATCCCAAGGGCAGGTGGCCCTGGACTGCATAAGAAAGGTAGCAAAGCAAGCCAGTAAACAGTGTTCTTCCCCTGTCTCTGCTTCAGTTCCTGCCCTGGCTTCCCTCCGTGATGCACTGTGAGCTGTAAGCCAAGAAAGCCCTTTCCTGCCCAGGTTGCTTTGGGGTCACAGTATTTATCAGAGCAACAGAAAGCAAGTACACTACGTGGTGATAACCTATTGACATTGTCAAGGGGAACATATAGATAGGGAAAAGGGAGTAAATTAGGGACAAGAATCAAAGAGTTGAGTTCAAATTTTACCAGGTATGATACGACTTAATTCCTTCAAAGGCTCTTCTCAGTGATGAGAATTTCCTGTCAGGCTGTTGGTCAGCATTACTAGCAGCTGGAACTGAACTGAAACTCACGGGGGAGATAGGGTATTCAACACCTGTTCTTAATGTGGTCCCTTCGGGGACCATGGGTTCCCTCCCTACAATATCATGATCCCAGGGACAGAAGAGAGCGATCGTTCAGATGTTGTCTTTAGCTCCAGAGCTTCTGGCTCTGGGATTTCTCAGGTGGTACCTGCCCCTGGGTGCTTTGGCTCCCATGTATGCCTCATTACCTCTCGTGGAAGCAATGCTGCTTCGGTTGGGTTCACGAGCAACCAGGAAGTACTCCACTTGAGGACGGCAACGTAGATGCCAGCAAAGCAGGGCCTTCGAAGTTCCACTGAGCCTGCAGGCCCACGAGATACAGACAGGGGAGGGGGCTGGTCAGCAGGATGGAGTGGGCATAGACTCCCGTTATTGACTAGTAATGGGTGTGTATGTCCATAACCTGGACAGTGTTGGAACCCAATCCTGGGCTGATTCCCCACCGAGCAAATGCCTTCCCCATGGATAGATAACAGCAAATATTTCTTTTTTGAATCCTTTCAAAGTCTAGAAGGAAGCATGCTGCCGAAACCTGGGCTCTGGTGGTGCAGGGGCAAAATGTGTCTCCCCTGGTTCTTGACAGTCTTTCTGTGTAACTGAGGCCACATTTGTTCTGTATTCTTCCCAGGTTCAAACCAGCGGGAGGAACAGAAATCAGGTTCTACAAGTCTGTATGCTCGGGATGACATTCTAATTAAACTCAGCATATGATAAAAAAGAAGACATGATGGCTATAGGCAGACTTGTGGAGAAGGTTCCAGAAGGGAAAAAAAGAGGACCACGTTAGAGTAATGGTGGTGGGTTGAAAATGTCTAAAGTTCATTATACAAATGTATGAACCTGTGAAACAACAAAATAATTTAACTGAAAAATATTCTGCTCTAATTTAGTCCCGATAATAGGTATAAGGAATCCTAACTTGACAGCCATTTCTATAAGGCCAATATCAACTCTCCCCACCCTCTCTGAATACCTCATGTAAGGTAAGGGTGCTGTACTTGGGATCCTGCAGACGCGAGTAAATGAATCTCAGGCCATCCATTCCAACTTGCTCGGCTTATATGAAGTCTCGAGAGCAAAGATGATTTGTTTGATGTCTTTCTAACGGAGTCTCCTCACTGCTGACTTGTTGAGGCTTCATTTATCAGGTGTTTCACATATTATATCATTTACCAGACAAAGGCCTGCTGAGGATAAGTAGGTATCAGACACTGTTGTACATATTGGGAGTGAATACAGGAGGAAACACAAAAATATCCCTTCTCCTGTGGAGACTACCTTGTTGGGAGGGTGGTGTGAGGGAAGATGGAGGCATTTTAATGTCCAATGGGTGGGGGTGTCAGAGAATCTGCATATGAGATAAGGAATGGCCAGAAATGTAAATAGGTACCTGTGCTCTAAGGAAAGCTTGTGAAATGATGCTAAAATCTCCTGATCAGTTAAGATGTGCATTTGTCTACTGGAATTTGCAAAATGGAGGTGACTGTTGTCATGGCAAAAGTAGTTTCAGAGGACAGATGGAGGCCAGACTCTACCTAGGGTGGATTCAAGGAAAAAGTCAGTGTTTATTATTTGGAGAGAATTAACAGACACAGATGTCTCCGGCTCTGGCTTTAAGAACAGTCTTGTAGTCATATGTAGGGAAGAGAGCCAGGGACTTGTTTGTTTTTAAGAGGTAAATATAACCTGGATATGCTGGTGGGACTGATTGTGAAGGGAAGGGAACCCAAAGTCAGTTGAGGTAAGAATGGGGTAGCAAGACTGTGTGTCTTCTGGAATCTTCCCCCTCTCTAATGTACAGATCCCTGAATAGCTTCAACTTTTCCACGGGAAACTTTACCTCTTCTCCTCTCGCCAGCTTCCTCTGAGGGCAATCTTTTTCTAAAAGTCTGCTAACTTTCTGCAACCCAGAGCTCTTGGGTCTGAGATAGGAGGGTGCACGTTCTGTGATTCTACTGAAGTTTTGAAACCCACACTCTCCAATAGAGTGTTTAGTAGCTGTAGGTGGTCACTGAGTATTTAGCATGTGACTAGCTTGAATTGACATGTATTTAAATACAGAATGCACACAAATTTTGAAAAATATGACAAAAGATTATGTATGTCAATAATAATTTTCACCTTGGTTATTTAGATGACACATTTTGGCCCAACTTTTTTTTTTTTTTTTTTTTCCGGCCAGGTGTCTTCCCGGGTGTCCTTTTCTTTTTTTTTTTTTTTTTTTTCATTTAAAAAATTTATTTAATAACCACATAATTAGTACAGCATTTCATTACAACAGCATTGACATAGTCAATGACAGTTTCCAGAGCAATGATGGCTCTCTTTCAAAAGTGGCTGTAAATTTTTAGGTTCACAGTGTTGAATTAATACATTTACACATATTTTACTCAGTATAAACCCTATAAGACATAAAACCTAATGAGGTTTTAACCTTTAAAGAAGATCTCCATTTCATTTTAAAATATACTGTTTCATACACAAAACCTCATTTTTAATGCAAGTAAGACTTGGATGTTTGCACATGCATCTCTAATTTCTATGTGTCTGATTATTACTAGTCACAGTCGGTTACTTTCTGAGATCCTTGGCACCTGAGCATGGAAATAAAGTCATCAGGTAGATTTAAATTGTAATTTTTTTTGTATCTACTGATTAACATGAAGCAAATTTTTATGCTTCTTCCTCAAATATAACTCATTTAAAAATTTATTGATTTCTTTTTGTGTATTTCATACATAACATCCCAAACAATCTTATTCATCTTTATACCTGCATCCTAAATGACACCCTCCCATAGCCACCCCCCACACTGGAGCCCATATACTCTGTCGTCACTGTTAATATCCACTGTGATATCAGTGCCCCCAACCGTTCCCCATGGTAGTCCATCTGCTGAGTCTAGTCAGCCTATCTAAAGCTCCTTGTTTTAGGAAGATCAGTTCTTCCTCATCTAACA